ACTATGAAAATGTATTACATACAAAGGGATTGGAATAAAGGAGTGGTTAATAAATAATAACAAACAAATACAATGTATTTTTTAAAGGTGTCGTTATGACAACCATGGAACAACATGGAAAAATTCCCTTGATATGATCTTCCATTTAAAACCACAGGAGACGAAAGGATGGTTGAATGTGGATATGAAAAGAGCTGTGTTCAGGGGTAGAACTTGGAGATTTTAGTGTTTTTAAATGCCCTTTACTGTGGTTATGAGACTGAACTCAATGGGTTGTCTCTTGGTGAGCGCAGAGCCAAAAAGCACAACAAAAGCAGAAGTAGGTGAAGAAAGGTTTATTACTTGCACAAGCAATGGAGAACACGAGGGATCTCTCCCATAGTGTCTCCCCGAACAGGGGTGTGAGGGGTCCTTCTACTGTTAGATCAGAAGGAAGTTCTGAATATTTAGTCAAGGAAAAGGCGCAAGATCGGGGCTCCTTGTATAACCTCTGTGTTCTCCCTTGGCACATGTGTGGCGTGTATACATACTACCACATACATCGCATGATCTGAAAATGACAGCTTGGTCCCTCCCAGAGAAGGAGAATTTAAAATGACAATGAAATTATAATGGAGACGGTTCACTTCAGTTCACTTAAGAGCAGTCTGAGGTGGCTAGAACCGGCTCCAGCCAGCTTGCTTGTGGGCCCTTCTGTGGTTAGGCTCTTCCCGAACATTCATCTGTGAAACACTCAACAGATAATGTTAGTTTTTATCAGATCCTCAGTATCCCTTTCTTTGCCTGGCTCCCTGGTTACAGTTATATTATCTTTTATTTATTTTTTTATTATTTATTTTTTTGGTGGGGAAGATTGGCCCTGAGCTAACATCTGTTGCCAATTTTCCTCTTTCGGCTTGAGGAAGAATGCCACTGAGCTAACATCTGTGCCCATCTTCCCCTATTTTGTATATGGGATGCCACCACAGCATGGCTTGATGAGCACTCCTCTCTCCATCCAGCTGTGGAATCAGTGTCTGGAAACCTGAGCTGGTCTGTGAGCGGGAGAACAGGCCTCGTGGAAGGGCCTCCTCCTGACTCCCACCCCCTGGTGTGGCTGAAACAGACGGGCCCACTGGGTGGTGCAGGAAGATCGGGGCACATTCTGGAACATGGCCACCACGTGCTTCCTGCATTTGACACATGGTGACTCATCTACTTCTCACAGTGGCCCTAAGAAGTAGTGGCTATTTTTATACTAACCTTCATTTTACGGTGGAGAAAAATGAGGCACCATGAGGTTAAATAACAAGGCTGATGGAAGGCCACCAATGCCAGGTCTGCTCCGGAGCCCGTGAGCCAAACCGCAGGGCTGGGCCTCCCGGTTTGTGATGTGAGCTTCCAGCTGGAGACTTTAGAGCTGTTTCCACATTTGGTCATTCCGCATGCCCAGTTTCTGCCACATCTCTGCCACCTGTACCACTATTTCTTTAATAGTGACTTACTTTTGAACTACAACTTCGTATGGCCAACTTAAACGGAAAATGGGTAGCATTGTCATAAACTGTAAAAAATAAATATGATGGACTATAAACAATGTTATTACAGTCTGGCTGGATTCAAGGGGCCAGCCCAGGCCCAAGGCCTGCCTTCTTTGTTGAAAGGGGATTACAAATACCAGAGAGGTGTTGAAGACACACCAGCACTCCCTGAGACTTTCTCCTCAGCCTACCCTGGAGGGGTTATCTACCATCGGGGCCACAGCCCTCGCTGTGGGAAACAACTCCCTGCTCTAACATGCAACCATAAAATCCCGGACTGGTGTTGGCTACGAGGTCGGGGCTCCATACAAGGGAAAACTTCGCCCTTGGGAAAGTGATGCTGTGCATTCTGTGGCTGCCACAGTCTCCGAGCTCCTCAGACGCGGATTCTGGGGAAACCAAAATAGGCTCCCTCTGAGACTAAAGTGGAATTTGCTCCCGACAGCACCCACGTCCAGTGTTTATGTGATTCAACGAAGGGAAATATTTTTAAAGTAAGCCTTCTCGGACAGAATTCTGAGGGAGACAAAGTACAAGTGAATCAGAATGTTGGATGTTCCTTCTAAAGCATCAGTTTGAAAAATGAGGGAAAAACCCAGAAGCAGAGTCATCTCCTCTCCCACCCCCACCCCAGCCATGAGGATCAGAGTCTGGGGGGCGGGCATAGGTCCACACACGTGTCTCTGTAGATGAGGAAACCAAGGCCCAGGGGGGATAAAGGGACTCGCTCAAGATCACACAGAGTGCCACCCTCCTGACCACCGCCACGACCCCCGTGCCGATGTGTCCCCTCACCAAGCCCCCCTGCCCAATGCCTTTAAATGCTTCTCTGACATCTGAGTTTATACTTCCAGGATATATTAGTCAGGGTCGCAGTAGGAAAGAGGGCACATTCAAATTGGGTAATATGAAGAGAATGTTAACAGAGGGTCTGTTTACAGAGGTGTAGACAGCGTGTGGGGCACCACAGGGCCTCAGAGCTAGCCCAGCAAAGGCCTCAGCAGAGGTCCCACTGCACCCTCCCTTCCACCTGAGGCCTGAGCCAGGGAGAGGAGGTGGGAGTTACCAGAATCACCAGCCAGCCAGGTGGAAAGGCCCCTGGTAGTAGCCGGGAATTCCTGCCCAGGCCCAGCCAGTATGCCCCTGGAAGCCCCCAAGGGAGGGAACTGAGAGCCAGTGTCCCATCCTCAGCCTCCTGCTGGTGCCCCACTCGCCAAACCCAATGGGAAGCCAGAAGGCAGAGAGCCCGTGGTGTGGTGCCCACAGTGGGGCTGCGGGAGAGTGACCTGGAGCAGCCCTGGCATCCCACACAGAGGTCCTACCCCAGGGCACACCCCCGAAGAGATGCAGAGAAACAGCCAGAGTCGCCTCCAGACGCCCAACTTCTCTCATGTCCTAAACCACCTGCTCTCTGGATATTGGAGAGAGAAAAGCCCTCCACTTTGTTTTGAAAAGGAGAGCAAGGTTTACAGCCATTAGCAAGTAATTAGGATCCACCTGGGCTGACTCAGCCAGATCCAGGGACACCTAACCAGGTAGACCCATGAGGGAGGGCAGTGGACACCTCCCCAGGGTGCCTGAGCTGGGAGGCCCTCAGCGACCTGTGCCTGTCCAGATGGAGATGGGGGGCCTGCGGGCAGGCTGAGCTCCCCGGGCTGGACGACTCAGCTAGAGAAGGAGCCCCATGGGGGCAGGGGAAGCTCGTCTTCGCTCTTCCCCACTCAAGCTCCAGCACCCGAAAACCACTTGATAATTTTTGTTACAGAATGAGTGCATCAAACACGTGACCTCTGACCGCTAGTTGAATTTTCTTTCCCTGGGCCAGGCAGGGCCCCTCAGAAAGGCAATCTGCTAGGTCTTTCTTCCCTTCCCCCACCCCTCCTTGAAGGATCAGCAGGACTTTGCTGCTCATTGCATCTCTTGCAAGTTCCAAATGCTGACCTCAGCTCGGCTTACGGGTGTGGGTAAACATTTTCGGGGTGTTCATTGAGTATCTTCCTCTTCATTTCCTGCTTTACCACTCATCCACTTTTTACCTAATGTGTTCAAATTTCCTGAACCGTCCGCTGTCTTATCTCCACCTCCCGCAATTGAATTAGGAGAGCTGGGCTTCCGGAAGCCAGGCTTCTGGAAGCTAGCCAATCCCCTAGCTCAGGAGCGGCTGAAAGCTGGGGGAGGGCAGATCTGTGGCTACACCCACGAACACGCACACGCACCCATGCACCCAGGTTTCGCCTCCTTCCTAGACAAGAGCGAGAGGTCACGTGGGATCCTGGAGAGAGATGGAGGTCTGGCACCAGAAGGAGAGTTCAAGCCCCACCTCCAAGTCTTGCCAGCAAGGGCACCCTGACAAGTCACCCCAGCTCTCTGCACCTCGCTTCCTCCTCTGCAAGGCAAGTGTACAGCCGATGCCTACCTCCCTGGATGGGAGTGCAGGTAAACGTGAAGAGGGACAGAGAAAGGCTTTGTCGATAAGAGCCCACTGGGCAGAAAGGCTTACACCTCTCACCGGGGCTCAGGTGAGGGCCCGGCTCAGAATGGGAGAGCACGCTGTAGCCGTAACCCCCACGATGGTTGGGAAATACTCATCTGTGCCTGTCTCTGGGCTCGAAGCCCCAGGAGATCCTGTGTCTAGTTCTCCTCCATCGCACAGGGTGAGCCTGTCCTCCAGGCCCGACCCCTCCCCTGAGCTCTGGACCCCCACCTGGAGGTCTCAAGAGCATCTCAAACTTAACAGGGTCAAGTCTCAACACAGGACTCTCTCTCCAAGCCAGCCCTCCCCTTATTCCTTTCCTAGGAAACAGCAGCACCTGGGGGGACATCCTTGACACCTTCCTCACCCTCCTCCCCAACCCCTCCATGACCAGTCTTGCACCCGGCATGTCTCTAAACACCTCTGGAATTCATCCTCTCCGGTCTCCATCATCCCCTGCCTAGACTGATGGGCAGCACTTGCTAACTGGTCTCCCTGCTTCCACTCTGCCCCCACCACAATCCCGTGTCCCCCAGCAGCCACCAGGGCCTTCACAACAAGCTTCTTCCCACCTCAGGGACTTTGCACCTGCTGCTCCTTCCGCCCAGACATCCTCCTTACCACCACCCTCCTCTCACCCACTTTACTCCCGCTCACCCTCCGGTCTCATAGTAAATACCTCACTCACCTGCTCACCTCCTGCCCCAGGCTGGTTTAGGGCCCCGTGTTATATGCTGTCATGGGACCTTTCATTTTATTTCATTGCACTTATATCAGTTTGCAATGGTTAGTGACTGTCTGAGCAATGTCTGGCTTCTCCGGTAGACTGTAAGCCCTGAGGACAGACACTGTGCCTGTTCTCACCATGATGTCCCGAGCATCCAGTATACAGTAGATGCTTAATAAATCTTCGTTAAGTGAAGGCCTCCATTTCCCTTCGTTAGTGGAGCATACGCATGTTTTATGGTCCCCAGCCCCCATCTAACCATCTTTTCTCCTCCGGTCAGCCCAGGCGGGGCCTCACTCACGTCCCTTTCTGAGGCCAGATGTTCTCAGCCTGGAAGAGACTAATGTTCCTGTCTGTTCATGAGGACTCTGGGCCCATCATGGCCTCTTCTAGGTAAGTCAAAGGGATTCCTCGATTTACTATTTAAGGTCGGGGTGGGGCGGTGCAGACAACCTGGAGAACACCCAGGAGATGGCGACCCTCATCTCCTGGACAACAGTTGTAGCAACAAGCAGTATTAAATCCAAAGACAAAACCTCACAAGGGCTGGTGAGGCCAGTGTTCAAATCCCCGTAGGCCTGTTGGGGGCAGAGGGAGTGGATTGTTCTGTGGGGTTTGGGGGGATGTGTGCAGGAGGAGGACACATTACTGGTGGTCATATGTGAGCTTTTCCGGATGAACTTGGAAATGAATGAAGAGAGTGAGACTCTGAAGGCCACAACCAACGAAGCAGACAGAGATGTACCAGGTCACTGTGCCAGCTTCTCAGCCAGAGACATAGAGAGCAAGCCCTGTAACTCCCAATTACGTACCCCCGGGCCATCTTCTGAGGATCCTGTGGCTTCTCGGAGCCAACTATGGGCCAGGTGCCATCCCGTTGACTAGGGGTTGTCTTGCTGGGAAATTAACAAGTAGCATCTGGTGTGATCCTTCAGTCTCTAAAGACGGAGACCACCAGAGACAGCTCCCCCAGCCTGGGCACTGAGGAAACAGGGCTTCTGTAGCTGTGGAAATGCAGCCAAAGGCTGGACCAAGGGGAGGTCTTGCCTTCAGAGGCTCTGCAGAGAAGCCTGCCCACCTCCATGGGTCAGGAATCAAGGGCCCAGTGGGGACAGCTCATCTCTGTTCCCAGAGGTCTGAGGCCTCGGCTGGAAGACTCAAACGCTGGGGAACCAGAATAACCGAAGGCTTCACTGGGGCCAGAGGATCCACTTCCACGGCGGCAAGCTGGTTCCTGTCCACGGAGCCTCTCCACGCGGCTGCTTGAGGGTCCTCACAACATGGTGGCTGGGATCCCCCAGAGCAAGCCACCCAAGAGGCCAAGGAGGAAGCTGCAATGCCTGTAACGACCTAGTCACAGAAGTCACACACTGTCGCTGGCACCATGGGTGAGAAGCAAGTCACTAAGTCCGGCCGCATTCACCGGAAGAAGAATTAAACTCCACCCTTGGAAGGGAGGAAGATCAAAGACTATTAAAACCACCACTCCGCCAGGAGGGTCTTTCCAGAGCACATTCTCTATTCCATCAGCCCCTCCTTAAAGCCCTCGGGGGCAAAGCCTCACTTTCCTAACATCCAGTGATGACCGTCCTTATCCCCTTATTCAACCTTGCCACTTCCCACCTCCCAGTCCAACATCTAGTCCGCCTTCTGGAACATGCCAGAGGCTCCCCCACTTCTGTGCCTCTGCCTGGTCTGCCCCCCCTCCTTTTTGTCCCCTGTTGTCATGCTCCTTGTCCCTCGAGACCCAGCTCCAGGGTGACCTTCAACCTTCTCCATCTCCCCCACCCAATTCCGTGTCCCTTGCCCCTCCCCCCACCCCTCGGCACTTGTCACACACTGCCTGCAGGTGTCAGGAGCTCGGGCAGGGCAGGGGACACGGGTATTCCCCTCTGGTCCCCTGCAGCATGGAGAACACGCTCAAGACACATTTAGAGAACGATTGCATTGATGAACGAGTTAATTGCAGGTCCCCAGTCTGGCCCCTCAAAGCCAGCCAGCCGCTCCAGGAAGTAGACAGACTTTTCCCGGGAAAGCCCAGAGGCGATCAGCAGATTCTTTCCCACAATTTTTTGTTCACCTCCTCGACCATGAGCCTGCCCAACAATCAACCACCAGGAAGAGCCCTCACCTCCACCTCCCCCGGCCCACCCCACGGGCGCTAGGAAAATGCCCAACTGTCCTGCACCTGGGATGTGCTTTCGGCTTCTCGACGTGTCCTCATGCCCACTCTCTCATTTGACCCTGCAACAGCTGTGCAAAGCAACCAGGAAGACAGCAATACTCTACTCCAAAGAAAAAAAAAAATGGAAGCTCAGAGAGGTCAAGCAATTTGCCCAAGACCACACAGCTAGGACTGAAACTTACGTCTGTCCAAGCCCCATGCCTCTTCACTGAGGTAGGGATGAATTAGCCTTAACAGCAACACTTCTAGAAAGTGAACTGCCCCATGGTCTGAGTCTCACCCAAGACTGAAAGAGGAGCCAGTGGGTTCATGATGAAGTCACCACAGGAGCAAGAAAGTGCAAACAGGGGTGCTGGAGATTGACATTGGTTGTTTTCATCAGTTCACGAAAACAGATACTTCTTCATGTTTATTGAACGACTACAGCGCTTGGGGCTTTTTGCACATTGTCTGCGATCCCCATCACAACCCTGAGAAGTAGATTTTGTTATTCCCATTTTACAAGGTAGGTCATTGAGGTTCAGAGAGGTTAATTCACTTATCTAAGGTCACACAGCTAATGGATAGCTGGGATTTGAACCCAGGAGACTGTCTGGCTCCAAAGCCCCTGCCCTCCCTTTCCATCACACAACCTCTGATCACCAATGCTTCACTGATGGAGGGTACAGAAGCATGATGCCGCCCTCTGCCAGAAGGAGACAGGGAGTGGGCAGATGCGCCATGGTCTTGGAGCCAGACTGGAATCTTCCTATCTGGAATGACATCATTTTTGTTCTCTAATAAATTACTGACCCATAGCCAGACCCTGAGAGGCTGACAGATGACCAGCTCCCTTGGGAGGGGCCTGGGCGATAAGGAAGGAATGTGCTATGTATCATCCCATCGTGGAAGCTTCAAGGAGGTCCAGGGTCCAAACCTCGTGATTGTTCGTGCTGGGGATGACGCTGGCCAAGGGAACGTCCCAGCGGAGCTGCGAGGTGAAGAACACGAGCTCTCAGTTTAGACCCAGGGAGGAGACACCTCTCTGAGACCCCAGGGAGGCAGGGAGTCCCCGAGCACGGCGCAGAAAAGGCCTGAGTCCCCCTGACTTCATCTTCTGGAAGCTGTTGCTGAACAGACGGGCTGTCCTGTCCCCCCTCCTTCTGCACCAGCCGTTTCTCCTTCTTCTTGTGAGCTGAAGGTGTAACAGCCTCTTTTCCACTTTCTTTCAGTGCCGACGTGCTCAACATCACCTCGCAAGTCCTTGCGCCTGCTCTCAATGGGACCCTCTCCCAGAGCAGTACCTGCTTCCCATCTGAGTGGTGGAGCTGGCTCAACTCCATCCAGGCCCCCTTCCTCTGGGCCCTGTTCGTGCTGGCGGCCTTCGAGAACCTCTTTGTCCTCAGTGTCTTCTGCCTGCACAAGAGCAGCTGCACGGTGGCGGAGATCTACCTGGGCAACCTGGCCGCAGCGGACCTGATCCTGGCCTGTGGGCTGCCCTTCTGGGCCATCACCATCGCCAACAATTTCGACTGGCTCTTTGGGGAGTTCCTCTGCCGCGTGTTGAACACCATACTCTACATGAATCTCTACAGCAGCATCTCTTTCCTGATGCTGGTGAGCATCGACCGTTACCTGGCCCTGGTGAAAACCATGTCCATGGGCCGGATGCGCGGGGTGCGCTGGGCCAAACTCTACAGCCTGGTGATCTGGGGGTGCGCGTTGCTCCTGAGCTCGCCCATGCTGGCCTTCCGGACCATGAGGGAGTACAGAGACGAGGGACACAACGTCACTGCCTGCATCATCATTTACCCATCCCGCACCTGGGAGGTGTTCACCAACATCCTCCTGAACTTCGTGGGCTTCCTGTTGCCCCTGTGCGTCATCAGCTTCTGCACGGTGCAGATCATGGGGGTGCTGCGCAACAACGAGATGCAGAAGTTCAAGGAGATCCAGACAGAGAGGAAGGCCACGGTGCTCGTCCTGGCCGTGCTGCTGCTGTTCGTCGTCTGCTGGCTGCCCTTCCAGATCAGCACCTTCCTGGACACGCTGCTGCGCCTCGAAATCCTCTCCAGCTGCTGGGACGAGCACGTCATCGACGTCTTCACGCAGATCTCCTCCTACGTGGCCTACAGCAACAGCTGCCTCAACCCGCTGGTGTATGTGATCGTGGGCAAACGCTTCCGCAAGAAGTCGCGGGAGGTGTACCAGGGACTGTGCCAGAAAGGGGGCTGCATGTCGGAGCCCAACAAGACGGAGAGCTCCCTGGGCACGCTGCGGACCTCCGTCTCGGTGGAACGCCAGATTCACAAATTACCAGAGTGGGTGGGGAGCAGCCCACCTGTGGGAGTGGATGCCAGCAGGGCTACGAGTAATGCGCGTGAGGATTGATGGACAGCTGCTCTTCAGGATGTGCCTGAGGAGGAAAGGAAGGCATCCCATGTGCGACCTTGGGCACGAGGCAGTGTCTCCATTAAAACACAGGAGCATAATTTGCCTGCCCAAGTTGCCGTATGCAAGGCTGTGAGGATGGGGTGACCTTATGCACCGCAAGGGCTCCATAAATACGACAGTATTATTGTTCTTACTTGCTGCCACCCCTGGGCCAGTCTGCTCCTTCCCGGGAGTGGAGGGGACCTGGGGGCAGGGACAGGAGTGACTGAGCTTTTCTCCCACGTGGTGACCCACCCTGCCCCAGCGTGACAGCTCAGATCTCCAGAAGAACTGTCATCCCGGCTTTGGTGCAGTGGCTGAATGCACACACAAGGCCTGGCTGAATTTTTGCCTTAGGTCTCTTACATCCACTCAGCTGGGACTTTGGAGGATGGTTTCTCAGACTGATGAAGGTTAAACTCTGAGGGATCCCTGGTAGGAACCCAGAGACCAGGACTCTGTGGCTCCCCTCGCTCATGGACAAGGTGGCCTGAGCCAACAAAGAACCCAATAAGCACTTATCCAGCACTTGCTGTATACGCAGCACTGAGCACTGTGGCAAGAGGGAAGAAAGAGACAGTGCGCCCTCTGTCTTGAAGGAACTCGCAGACTCACATGGGGATGACAGCGCATGTGCAACCACCAGAAGGCTGTTCTACAACTGGTCAACCATGGCACTGCGGGCGGTGCAGGGGAGAGGGGTGAGGAGCCTGGCATCCCGGCTCAGCTGACAACTAGTTGCACATTGCGTTGTCCCTGCCTCAGTTTCCTCCTCTGTAATAAGATGTTGGTGTACCTGGAAAAGTCAAAGGTGCTATGTAGACATGAGGCTTTATCATGCACACAGAACACAGATAAATTTCTTATCAGGAAAAAGACACAGGTGTAGCACAGCTCTGTAGAGGGGAATCAGTGTTGTAGCTAATGGTTGTGTAAAGCGCCTGTCAGTGTCTAGCACACAGTAGGCGCTCAATGGTCTTAGCCCCCTGCCACCTTTCCTTCCCCTGGCTCTGGCCCCCACCGCCCAACATGTGCACAAACAGGCATTTTGGAGGAAGGCCACTTCCTCACCGTTGGATTTGTGACGAGGCAGAGAGAAGGTTCCTGATCCGACTGGTCCAGGGAACCCCAGGGCTCAGAGCCTCAGCAACTAAGGGGCACCAACCAAAGGTTTATCTGAAGGTGGCCCAGCGGGGGCCACCCCAGGGCGGCAGACCAATGATACAGGCACGCAGGTCATTTACCCCAAAGCTTTGCTCCCGGGACCAACCTCCCTTACACAGTGGGCTGAGCGCCTCCCAGGTGTCACCCACAGCCCTGGGCCAGCAAGGCCTGCGTCCCAGCTGGGATGCCTGGGCCGGGGCGCTTGTGAAAGTGAAGAAGCCCTGGGGACACGGCCCCACACAAGGAACAGGTCCACGCTGAGATGGGAAAACGCACTCCCCAGGCGGCCTCCCAGCTGATCATTTGCCCAAAGAACCAGCGAAGGACCGCCGCTCTGCCTCTGGTGGGCGGGGCAGGGGCGGGGCAGGCCAGGGATGGGCCGAGCGGAGGGTGGGTCCCAGGTGTCAGGGAGGAGGAAACTGGACCAGCAGCCTTGGCCAGAGGCTTAAGAGACAGCCCTGCCTCCCAAGCCCCAGGTCCTCCAGGAAAAATTCCTTTCTTTTTCTAGGCATCTTAAAATCCACCTGCTGTGGCCGGCACCGTGCCAAGCCCCCAGGGAGACAGGGAGGACGCACCACCCAGGCTCCAAGACCCAGCCACTTAGAACCAAGGCAGGGAGGGCCACTCAGTAGCAATGGACTTGGGAGCTACCCAGGATGGTAAGGCAGGCACGCCCGGGCAGCGCGCACTCGCTCAATAAAATAAATGAGTATTTATCAGCGGACTCTCCCTGGAGAGGATAGAAGCTGGAGGACCGGGGGTTTGGGATGGCAAAGAGCGCATAAGTCTTGACCAAGTCAGCTCTGGGCTTTAAAACAAAAAGAGTCATAAAAGATTCCCTCCCATCCCAGCTTTTCTCGCCCCTCTGCCCACACCCCTCTGCCCCAATAAACATACACACTTGTAGCTGCAGAAAGAAAACAGGTGAAGTAAGAGGTAGGAACGTTTAGTATTAAAATGAAGCTAAGCCATGCGCTATTGTGAATGAAAAAAAAGGAGGCTGCGCTTTGTAATGTGCGGCACTCATTCCTCAGAGGGTGTGCGATGGTCTGAGAGTCTCATACGAGCAGAGCCACATCACAGCCCTGGGCTCCTAATAGTCATTCAAGGGTCCGTGTGTGGTTTGAGGAGCAGCCGGTCTGTGGGAGGGGAGCTGCCCTGGGGGTTGTGTTGATACTGTGATAAAGAACATCTGTCCTGTGAAAGACCCAAAGATGCTGTTACATTGTAGAGGAAGCATTTCACATCCGATGAGAAAACGGATGTAACCTGTCTTTTCTGTACCGCGTAATAAACAGATGAGGAGTTTTTGCACAACTCTCTCGTTTGTGACAATTCCCAAAACCCTGAGTTTTGTCAGGGACACTGCCGTGGAAGTCAGAAGCCCTGGGGGGGGGTTCCATTTTTTCCCACTCAACCTACTTTAGGGCTTCTGTCCTGTAGATCAATGGTGTCCCAGTTTTAGGGATTGTGTATCCCTGTAAGCAAAAGAATTTTAATTACACATACCCAATGTGTATACTTATTAACATGTATTAAATGTACTTTCTAAAATATAAGTACTCAAGTAGAAATTTAAGAAAATTTAGCAGGGTTTGAATATTTTCCCCCATCCTACAGTCCTACCTTGGTAACTCATTACCAAGCTCCCATCAGGTGCCCTTGAGGCCCCATGAGGCCCTAGAAGCATAAGGATGGCAGCCATTCAATCATTCATGCATGCAATATGTATTTATTGAGGGCCTTCCATTTGACCTCCCCTTCAAATCAGGAGTGTCCTCTACAATGTCTAGATTAAACAGCTGTCTAGCCACTGCTTGCATACTCCCAGTGATGGGGAACTCGTTACCCACTCCATTTGGGGACCCCTTCATTATTCATGTATTCATTCATTCACTCATTCAATAAGCAGAACTTGCATCTTGTGTCTACAGAAATGCACTGCTCCGTCTACACATGCATCCATCCATGCCAGAAACCCGGGGCTCATCACTGAATGCACCCTCTCCTTCGTCCCTTCCACCTAGTCGATCAGCACCCCCTTTAGATTCCGCTGAAGTGTTTCCTGGATCTATCTGCTTCTTTCTGTGTCTAACTGTCGTCTCTCATTGGTCTCCCATCTCTGATATTAACTACCATCATCTCCCAATTCTTATTCTCCACTCTACAGCCAATGATGTCTTTTAAGAATGTGAATACAATCGTAAGGAGACCAAAATAAATAACAGTGTTTAGGAGCCAAGGCTGTGGGATCAGGCAGACCTGGATTCCAGTTTCTAGTTCTGGCTCAGGCTTTTATCTACTATGTGGTCTTGGGTATCTCACATATCCTGTCTGAGTCTATGTTTATATCTGTAAAATGGGGATAATAAGGGCATCTACCTCACAGAACTGTTAACAAGATCAGTGTATGAAAGTGTTTAGCACAGTGCCTGGTGTATAGTTGGCACTCAACATGTGTGAGCTGCCATGATGGTGACGATGATGGTGATGATGATGGCTGTGATGAAGATGATGGTGATGACAATGGTGATGATGGTGATGATGACAGCTGTGATGAACATGATGGTGATGATGATAGTGATGACTATGGTGATGGCAACGGCTGTGATGAAGATGATGGTGAGGGTGATGATGGCACTTTCTAACAGGAAACTTCAATAATGTCCCACCGCTCTTGGGATAAAGTTCCATCCATAACGTGGCTTGCAAGATCCTTCATGAGCTGGCCCCTGCCTTGTCTCTTTCCCTCTCTCTCGTCTCTGGCTCATTCTCTACCCTCCAGCCATATTGGACACAGGTGCCTGGAGAAAGCCCAGCAGATAGTCCATTCTCCCTTCAATGCCCACACTTTCCACCCAGCCTGCACCCCTCACCGAGGCCCTGAGCTTGAAGAAAGTTGCCCACAAGTGCCGGAGGAAGCCCACTCACTTGAGGGACTTTGTTCACAGATGTGAACATGACTCAAGGAAGTCTGCAATCCAGATGGAAGCCACCTGGCTGGAAATTTGAGCAGGGCTGTCGGCAGACTGAGACCGGCTGGGAGAGCCTCCCTCCTGCCTCCTCCCTCCACAGCCAGGCAACCCGAGCGGCCCCTCCTCTCCTGACCCTCCTTGGCCCCAGCAAGCTGGGGCAACGGGAAGAAGCCCAGGGGGGCCTCTGGTGTTCTTGGAACCAAGCAACGGGCCCAGCTCCTGAGTCTGCCCTGGCCAGAGCGGGTGAGGGCCCAGTTTTCAGAAGCGCAAACTGAATGCCAGGTGACCCAAAGGGAATAATGCTAGTGATGATGGCTACCATTGATGTATGAAGCCACTTGAGTGGAGTCTTCATGATTCAGAAAGTGAAGTCTCGATTTGTAGACCCCAGCAATGTGCTCTGCTATCTCCCTGTTACTCAATCCCTGAGCCCATTGCAGAGCCTCACACAGCTCTGACCTCTAGCCAAGCCGCGGGAGGATGTGGGGGTCAGGGATGAGCAAGGAGGTCGTGGTTTGGCAATAGCAATGGCTGAAAGTGTAATGATTTGTCTGCGGTTTTTTGGCTGAGGTCGAAGGAGCCCCTTGAAAATGTCTCACACTGTGCTGAGCATTTTTTTAGAGTTGACCTCATGACCACACAGGCAGGCAGGTGCTCAGATCATCACCCGTTCCAACAGACGTGGAAACTGAGGCCCCAAGAGGGAAGTAACTTGCTAAGGCCTTGTGGTTCTTCAGGAGGGTGCTCCAGAAGCCCACCTGCTCCTGGTGTGTTCCTGCCTTAACACACAGATGCAAATTCTGTCACC